TAGGCAACTCGGTTGCGAATTCAAAACTAACCCCACGCAAAAAAAAACATGCAAAACTCCTACCCTTCAGCAGTTCCTTCGTTTGCGCTTCAGTCTCATTTTTGTACGTCCCCGGTATAGCGTCAATTTTCTCTTTGTACGCGCCCAACTGGCTACCGTAGCTCTTGTAATTCTGCTTGCTGTCGTTCATGAGCTCCTTGAGGTTGTCCTTTACGTCCTTCTGGCCGCTCTCCAGGTTGTCATGAATCGTGACGATTTTATGCTGAAGCTCCTTAATTGTGGCGTTCGCGCCGCTGATTTCCGCCTGCATTTTTTTTATGTGCAGCTCTTGGTTTTGTAACGCCTTGAGGATGACGTCCGTCTGAGTGTCGGTCTCCTGTTTGCATCTCGTGGGTAGAACGTCAATGTGCTTGTTGTACTCGTCCAGCTTGGTATCATACTGTTCCATGAACTTGTGGGTCCCGCTGAAGTTGTTTTTGTTCTCCTCTCGTATCTGGGACAGTTGCCCTTCGATGTTTTTAACCGTGCTCGAGGTGTGGTCGATTTTTGTCGCGATTTCTTTTTGGAGCTTTTCGAGTTCTGCATTATGGGGCGCGTCCTGAGGTTTTTCTTCGGTGCTCGAAAACTGAAGCGCAATTAAGGCGTTACAGGATACGCAAAGAGTTTAGGTTACCTACCGAAGACGTTATGTCATTCTTTAACGTTTCGAACAGCTGCGGTAGACTTCGATGGATCTGCTCCACCATGTCAAAAACTTTCTGGACTTGAATCCGCTCTCTTTCATCTTTCTGCAGGAGAATGGTCTCGACGGTGGCCAACCTCTGATCGAGTCTACCTATCGTTCCTCTCACCGAATCTAATTGTTTTTGACGTTTGTCAATATTTGACAGGACTCTTTTGAACTGATCTCCCAGAGTTTTTTCTCGAAATTCGTGTCGTTCTAGCTTATCTTCCGTGGAACGGATTACGTTGACCATTGATAGGATGGCATCTCGAATGTCTTCATTGCTAGAGTAATCAAAATAAATCAAAAATGTGACTTTACGTATATTTCTGTAAAATAATGTAAAAGTACACAATTATCAAAATTCTTCTCCCCCCTCGCCTTCGCCCTCGCCCGAATCCATCCCGACTTCTTCGTAGTCCTTCTCTAATGCGGCGGTATCTTCTCGCGCTTCCGAAAATTCACCCTCCTCCATTCCTTCGCCCACGTACCAGTGGACGAAGGCACGCTTGGCGTACATCAAGTCGAACTTGTGGTCGAGCCGTGCCCACGCTTCCGCGATGGCGGTGGTGTTCGATAACATGCAAATTGCACGTTGGACCTTGGCCAAGTCGCCTCCTGGTACAACAGTGGGTGGTTGATAGTTAATGCCCACTTTAAACCCAGTCGGGCACCAGTCGACAAACTGAATGGTACGTTTAGTCTTGATTGTGCCAATGGCCGAATTTACGTCTTTGGGCACGACATCGCCTCTGTACAAGACAACGCACGCCATGTATTTACCGTGCCGTGGATCGCACTTGACCATCTGATTCGCAGGTTCGAAGCACGCGTTTGTCAGCTCCGGTACGGATAGCTGTTCGTGATAGGCCTTCTCCGCCGATATCACCGGAGCGTAGGTCACCAAGGGAAAGTGAATTCGAGGGTAGGGAACGAGGTTTGTTTGAAATTCCGCCATGTCGACGTTGAGGGCGCCATCGAATCTCAACGACGCGGTGATTGAACTGATGATTTGGGCCAGTAAGCGGTTAAGGTTGGTGTAGGTGGGCCTTTCGATGTCCAAGTTTCTGCGGCACACGTCGTAGATTGCCTCGTTATCCACCATGAAGGCGCAATCTGAATGTTCCAGGGTGGTGTGAGTGGTCAAGATTGCGTTGTACGGCTCGACGACTGCGGTCGAAATTTGGGGCGCAGGATAGATGGCGACTTCCAATTTTGATTTTTTCCCGTAGTCCACGGAGAGCCTTTCCATGAGCAGGGAAGTGAATCCCGAGCCGGTGCCGCCTCCGTACGAGTGAAAAACTAGGAATCCCTGCATTCCGGTGCATTGATCCGCTAGCTTTCGCAGCCGGTCGAGGACCAAGTCTACGATTTCCTTGCCGACGGTGTAGTGCCCTCGGGCGTAGTTATTGGCCGCGTCTTCCTTGCCGGATATTAGCTGTTCGGGGTGGAATAACTGGCGGTAGGTCCCGGTGCGCACTTCATCTACGACCGTCGGCTCCAAATCGATCATCACCGCTCTTGGTACGTGTTTTCCGGCTCCGGTCTCACTAAAAAAGGTGTTAAAGCTGTCGTCTCCTCCACCGACCGTTTTGTCAGACGGCATTTGCCCATCGGGCTGAATGCCGTGCTCCAGGCAGAACAATTCCCAACATGCATTTCCAATTTGGACACCGCCCTGACCTATGTGTACATTAATTACCTCACGCTGCAAATCAACAAATAAACCTCCACCACCCCTAAATATTTATAACTTACCATTGTAAATATAATAAAAAAATATAATATATAAACGCAAAAAACGCGACGATAAAAAAAACCGTGTATAACTGTTACAAAATTTTATAACATTTACATCCGTTACCAGGTTACCCTCAATTGTTTCCCATAAACGCTAGATTTTCCTAGTTTATTTCGCATTCTCGGTCTTGATTCAGAATTTAATTCCGGAAACGTCCCATCCTTGGGGGTAAACGAACTTGAGTATTTTTAAACCCGCTGCTATTTTCGAACTTTTCGAAAATATGCAGGATGCAAGAGATGCGCGTCGTTATTATTACAAATTTAAAAACCATACTTACGTCACGGACCGGGGCGCTCCATCGGCCTGAAAGACGCACACAAGCAGTACGAAGAAAATACCACCCCGCACGCACATCATCCGAATTATAGCACTAGAAAAAATTTTGCCTTATTCCGTCGTTTATTATCACTCGATATTTACGTTAGATAAGTATCGATAGTGGTTGACTCTATGAACTTTAAGTTCAATGATTTTTTTATATTTGTATTTGTTCCAGCAATTAATAGAACGAAGCGGGTTTTACTCTCGTATAATGCGGGTTGCTTTAATTATCATCTCTTAATTGATTAATGTCTTCGTTACCACAACACACACAGTCACAAATGTACTAATTAACTCTTCTGCGCTTCCGCGTTAATAATGGATTATTAGAATTTTAAAATGCGACCGCAAAAGACCGCCTCTGTACCTCTGCCATCTACCGTTTTATCGCCGAGATGGCGGGTGAGGGGCTTAGTCACGAGATTCAGTGATAATACTTCAACGAATGTAAAATTTACTTCATTCTGATGGAACTCGTGTAATTATTTCGCTTTTTGCAGGAAATGACTATAACTTGACGTTAGGTATTGCTGGCCTCTATTGCAAGCAATGCCTGCAATCTATGAGAATAAAGCAGAGGACAAAACAATTACGTAGCGTGACTTTTGGCATAATAGGGTAAGGGAAAGATGGTACCTACTTGGCCATCTGTATTCTCGCGTCTTCACATATAATAGTAATATAGGTACTGATATTTATTAAGAAGTAGATGGAGGGGTTTACATGTATTGTTTTTCCCTACGTCTACTTTTAAATGACAAAATCTCTTCTGAAGGGCGCCTAAAGTAGGCAACTGTCTATGGTCAAATATTGCAAGGGATAACATTACAACAAAACAATGAAACATATTGTGGCAAAATATTAGTAGTGGCCCTTTTTGTATTGGCGGCAGAGAGTAGCTTGCCGAAAAGGGACAGATCCTCTCAGGTCGGCATAGGAGTAACCTGTTAAATTTTGTCACCTAGTTTAAGTCAACATTTCTATCTCGTCTTAAAGTTGTACACTAATTTAGGTGTTTTATTAAGGCCATCGTGATTGTAATTCAGGTCAGAAGCGGAATAGAGCCTATCGCACTCTCGGGAGTTCAGTGAAGTGAATTTTGAAGGAATTGCGGAGGCCATAAGTGTTCTAGGGAGTACTGCTGAGTCGAGGGAGAATAAGCAGGATACCAATGTCTGGAAGGAATTCTGGGTTTCGGTGAGGAAGAGGGTTTGGAGTTGCGAACCGAGGTAAATTCTGACGAGAGAGCGCGACGCTCTCGCAGGGAATGTAGGAACGGCAGGAGTCAGGGTGGGACAAGCTTAGGAGGTGTCTAAGAGAAGAAGCGTGATGCCCGATTTAACTTGTGGGTTGAGTGTGTACCAGGATATGAATAATTGGCTGACGGATGTGAAAAACATGGCGGGAAGGCAGTTATGGAGAAACTTTATATTTCATCCCACAATTAGAGGACTGTATAAAACAGAAACAAGATGGAGAGGTTTACGCACAATGTAGGTACGTGCAACCAATTGTACATGAATGCAAAAAACTAGCATTCAGTTCCTGGGCATCACCAAATTTGAATTGTCTAGGGAAAACTTTTAAGCCAATATTGCTGAGCAACTCTGTATATATACTGGAGCGCTAACGTCTCTGCGATCTCGTCGTTTCTACCTTTCGGTTCATTTACTTTTAAATCTTTAATTTGTATTACCCGGTACATTATTACGTACATACATGCCAATATATCTATGAAGCAATTGGTACACGTGCGCCATCTCTTTGATAATCGCTACACTTTTCCAAATAATTTTCTTGTAATAGTTGAACAAGTTTCAATGAGATGTCGCCACGTGCGTACCTATTTTCTAAAGAACATTTCTAGATAATCAGAGTCTGAGAAGGGTTGATTGCATTAAAGATCTTGGTGTGTACTTTCAATTAATAGCCACGGCGTCCGCGTCCCACTCAATTTTCCTTAAATGGCAGTTGAAAATGTGCCATCTCTTGTACGATCTGCAAAGCAATTGTACTTCAATTATCCAGTATTTGGAAGTGTCTTGTGTAAGCAATTGGTACACGTGCGCCATCTCTTTGATAATCGTTACACTTTTCCAATTAATTTTCTTGTAATAGTTGAACAAGTTCCAATGAGATGTCGCCACGTGCGTACCTTTCAATTTATTCAATTAATAGCCACGGCGTCCGCGTAAGCAATTGGTTTTGATCTAGTAGCCCAATCTTGGAACTGTTCAAAAATCCGGCCCGTTATTTTTCTGTTCGGTATGCCTAAAACATATATACAAAATTTCAACAAAATCCGTCGAGCCGTTTTCTCAGAAAATTGCCAACAAACGTACGTACGTACATACGTACTAGGAAAAAAATTTTATTCTTTAAAAGTTGCTTAAAATGGTCTAAAACCTCGACATTTGATGAAATTTTGAAATGTTCAAAAAACGGCTATCGCAATAGCTACCTAGGTATGGAGTAGGTACACCTGTGATCTTCCTCCCTGCGATGTGTTCAATTGGTTTAACAAATTTCAATCCTACCTATCATGAAATAATTGAAATGAATGGGTAAAAACTTCAGTAAAGCTGCGTGTAAAATGAAAGCAGATCAAAGGGTCCCAAGTAATAGTTTTCCCTAATTTTTAGTTTTCGGTTATGTTATATAAAGTATTCAAAATAAGCGCCTTCCAATAAAGTGGCGACATCTCACAGAAAGATGTTCAGCTATCACATGAAAATGATTTTGGAAAGTCTAACGTTTATCAAAGAGATGGCGCATATACCAAATGCATAAACAAAGGACAATTCCAGATACTGGAGTATTGAAGTACAATTGCTCTACAGATCCTACAAGAGATTGCACATTTTCAACTGCCCTTTATGGAAAATTGAGTGGGACGTGGGCGCCGTGGCTATTAATTGAATAAATTGAAAGGTACGCACGTGGCGACATCTCATTGGAACTTGTTCAACTATTACAAGAAAATTATTTGGAAAAGTGTAGCGATTATCAAAGAGATGGCGCACGTGTACCAATTGCTTTAACAAAAGACATTTCCAAATACTAGATAATTGAAGTACAATTATTGCTCTACAGATCCTACTAGAGAATGCACATTTTCAACTGCCCTGCCCTGTACTGTAACTTTTGTGCCTGTAGAATCCATAATTTCAAACAGTTCCAAGATTAGGCTACTAGATCAAAAGTTACAGCCCTTTGAATTTTCTTACGAAATTGCTCTCTATAACTTTTTTTTGAGAAATCTAATCGAAAAAGTACGAATCGTTTTGAATTCTACGCACCAAAATTAATAAGAAAAAGTGTTTTCCCAAGAAATTTTGGTGCAGTCGATTTTTGGTAAAAAAGGAAAGTTATACACTGCCTTTTTTTGGTCTGAAAAAAAATTGTCTCAGATCGACCAGGAAAAAACATTTTCTTATAGAATGTGGCCTGTAGAATCCATAATTTCAAACAGTTCCAAGATTGGGCTACAAGATCAAAAGTTACAGCCCTTTGAATTTCATTACGAAATTGCTCTCTATAACTTTTTTTTGAGAAGTCTAATCGAAAAACTACGAATCGTTTTGAATTCTACGCACCAAAATTAATAAGAAAAAGTGTTTTCCCGAGAAATTTTGGTGCAGTCGATTTTTGGTAAAAAAGGAAAGTTATACACTGCCTTTTTTTTGGCCTGAAAAAAAATTGTCTCAGATCGACCAGGAAAAACATTTTCTTATAGAATGTGGCCTGTAGAATCCATAATTTCAATCAGTTCGAAGATTGGGCTACTAGATCAAAAGTTACAGCCCTTTGAATTTTCTTACGAAATTGGTTTCTAGTCTATAACTTTTTTTTGAGAAGTCTAAATCTATGGTATGTACATGCTACCAGTGACTTTATAGAGACAGTGGCGACAATAGAGTGTCTAATTTTTGATTGGTTATTGAGATCGGCCGCCATTTTGCGTCAAATATCCGGTAATAGATATGCTCACGCGCATTCCCGCGCTTCTATAAACGTCACTGGTTGACAAATTTGAAGTACAGGTGCCATGATATTCCTAAAAAAAAATAGTATCATGACAGATGACAGTCTGACATTAGCGACTTCTGCAGTGAAATGCCAGTGGCAGACGATGAAAAATTTGTGTAATTTTGACTGCTCTCTAATATGAAATTGCGGTGTACGCCATACATGCCTACGTGTATTGTGTGTTGCCACCTTTTTGACTCAAAATGGCGGCCGATCTCCTATTGTCGCCACCGTCTCTATAAAGTCACTGTAGTACATGCCATAGATATATAAATACATAGATACAGCCATACCCCAACATAGTTCAAAAGGACGTACCATCTATTACCATCACTTTCGGCACATTAATTACGTATAGCGCTATCCTTTATAGAGGTACCCTGAGCATGGAAGACAAGATTCGCATTATTTATTATAACTGTCAATCAAATTGTTAGCACAAATCACCCAGAAAATTATCAGATTTGAGACAACATAAATAAACCGCCTTTTTATTTATTTAAATCGCATAGAAGCAAGAAATGTTACATTTAAAATGGAAGCTGACAACTGGAAGAAAGTGTGTGAACATGTGGAAAGTGATTAATTTAAAAGAGAAGTAATATTGGTTGATGTTTCTGAACTTTATAATAAGTGTTAATAATGACAGTGATGATTCGGATTTGTCAATTTCATCTGACGATGATTCGGATTGTGAACTTTTACAAACGTAATAAATGTTCACTAAATGAGTATTATCACCAATTGAATATCATTGTTAAGATGTTGTATTTATTTTAAATAAATGTACACGTGTAGCTTACAACAATTAGCACTATAATTTCAAAAAGAAACCCCACCGATTGGACATATGCCGAAAGGTAGGCAAGACGCGTAGCGACCAAAATTTGATATTGCACGCACACACAGTCTATAAATTTCGTTTTCCTAAGAATATTGCACGGATCATTCGTGATCATGATACAAACGCACTGCATCAACATCATATACGCCAAAATAATAATTGGAAACGAATTCACTTCCTGTCGCAACTTAATCTCCGTTACCATTACGCCTAAAACCAGGCAATTAAAATTAAAATGTTGAACATAAACTTTACTTACTTACGGTTTTTTTGATATTCTGCAAGCCAGCAATGAATTCACTGCAGCACATCATGCCAAACAAGGTAAACATAGTCCCAATAAATTTGAATGGCGTAGCTCTATGTAATAAAACTATTTCAGGAATAACAATTATGGACGCGTCTATAATTATTATGGCAAGCACTAATGTTATTCGTATTCAATTGATAACGATATTTACACAATATTTAGTGAAAAAACCGCCCATCATGTTTAGGGCGAATATTTTTAGTTAGATTTGATTTCGCGCGATCGTGAAATCT